TTTTCTAACTAGGTCAATGTTCCTCAACCTTGGTTATTTTAAGAGGTGTGCCCTTTTTTTTTTTTTTGTGAATGCCACAATAACAATTTCTTTCCACCGAGTACTTGAAAGCTATGCTGGAAATGTGAGCAACCCAAAGGGGCATATTATGTTTGATGGAGATTGCAAGAATAATCAACAATTTTAGGATCCAAACACACACACTAATTCAGAAGATTTTTAAAGGCTTTAAAGATTTTGAAGACTAAGGTACAATTGAAACCAGAGACTTTTCTTGGGGGCTGAATGGATAAACAGCTGGAACAGAAATCACAGACTTCGGTTTTGATATGTGACAACTGCAGCAAGTTTATTATTCGCTTAAAATTGAAAAAAAATCAGCACTATCTACAAAAGAGGAGTGATTGGTGAAGTTGATTTAAAAAATGGCTAATTTAATTAAAGAAAAGACAGTGATTTCTTTTGTTGCTGGTTGGAAACCACATAGGGGCTTTTTGCATGAAATAGAAAAAATGGATATGATTTGTGGTGTTAGAAAATATTAGATAATAAAATACTTTTTTTTTTCTAAAAAGATAATTATGTAACCATGCTTATATTGGAGAATATAAGAAATTGGAAACTTCTATTTACCTAAGACAAGAAGCAATGGGTGGAAGGTAATCAAGGAGAGAAGCAACTTAGAACTAAGGAGAAATCTCCTGACAGTTTAGAAGAATTAATCAGTGGAACAACTTTCCTCCAGAAGTTGTAAATACCTTTTCTTTGTGTACCTTTGAGTTTTTGTTTCTTCTTTTTTCCTCCCCTCCTTCTTTACTTTGTATTATTTTCTTTTTTCTAAAGACATTTCATAACATCATTACAAAAGCAGGAATTTATTTCCTGGACTAGAACTTGTATCCCTGAGTGGCTTTTGAGCGACTCGCATCCATCCACAAAATATAATTTAGCTCCTGGAAGAACTTTAGTGGCTCCTTGTAAAGAATGTAGAGTTTAGCTGTCAATCAGAGCTTTTGGGGCTATGACGTACATGCTTATCTACACAAATCCTACCAATAAAAAGGAGAACAAAGACAGGTTTTTCACGGTCTGTAAAAAGCCTCTGTTGGTTTCTCCTGCCCTCCCCGATGCAAAAATGCTGAATTTTGTATTTTTGACTTTGATCTGTCTCGTAAACCTGCAGCCCTCCTCTTGCCAAGAAGATAGGAGGAATGCTATCATCTCATCGATGGAGAAGGCAGTTATGTTCCTGGCTGAAAAACATGACAAAATTAACGTAGATGCGGTATTGGGATTCTCTGTCTTGGAAGGTACCTGTTTTAGCCACTGCTGTGGGGTTGGTTGTTATTAGACTTAAAAGTTGACTGCGAAGAAGGGAATCAATTATGGCTTCCAGAAGTTGTGAGCGCCTCCACCACTGGAGATATTTAAGAAAGGGTTGGATAACAATTTGTCTGGAATGGTGCAAGGTGTCCTGCTTGACCAGGGGGTTGGACTAGAACAGCGGTCATCTACTGGTGATCCGCGAGAAAATTTTGGCTGTCCGCAGAAAAATTGTTTGCATTTTTTATATTGTACTAAATCAGGAGTCCACAAACTACGGCCCCTGGGATAGATACATGCAATGCACACTTGTTCTGCTGCAGAGAGTCTCCCACTTTGGGGTCTTTTTGTGTAGGTTCAGAGGGGGGCAGAAATTCGAACTTGGGATCTGCTTCGGCCTTCCAGTGTGGGGCTTTGGGTGAAGGCTGGAGAGAAGCGCCGCTGGTGGTGAAGAGCCAGAGGGCCTCGTTCCAATGGGACTGCATCATGGCCTGAAACAGGCTGACTATCTCAGCCCGCTGAGCCTCCAGACGCCGGCACCTGGCCTTGCACTTCTGCAGATCTTCCCTCTCTTGGAAAGCCTATGCTCGTAGTCCTCAGTGAGGTGCTTCTGCTGAGCCTCCTTAATCAGATCCAATTTGAACTGAGCTGCTTTGCCAACTCTTTCTCGTGGCGACTGCTTAGCTCCAACAACTGCTTCCTGCTGGTGCCCTAAGGAGCCCGGATGGGCAGGCAAGGGGGAACTGGGAGGGGCGGGGCAAGTAGAGGCTGGCGAAGCACCCCTCGATGTGAGTGACACCGAGTTGGCCACACCCACCCACTCACATGACCACCTAGCCAAGCCCACTCAGCTGGTCATTAGGCAGATCATATTAGTGGTCCGCGGGATTTAAAATTATGCATTTAGTGGTCCCTGAGGTCCGAAAGTTTGGTGATCCCTGGACTAGAAGACCTCCAACTTGTTATTCCAACGTGTTATTCTATTAAGGGAAAATGGGTGTTT